TCAAGTAGTTTCTGCCGTCTAGTCTGACGGGCGGAGAGTAGTTGAAGATGCTGAACATCGTGAAGTACGCCATGAAAGAAGTGTCGATCGGCAAGGAAGTGAAACGTAGAGAGAGAAAGTGAAGAGAGAGAGAGAGAGAGAGAGAGAGAGAGAGAGAGAGAGAGGTGAAGCAGAGAAATTGAAAGGAAATTTGAGCGCTAATGATCAAGTAAGGGACAGGTTTTAGCCTTTTATACAAGTGGAATTTTTTTCTTTTTTTTTCTTTTTCGACGAAAATTTAGTTGAATTATATTTTTACCGAAATTCGGTTTTCTTTTGAAATCCTTTATGAACTGCGTTGGTGGTTTTGGGGGATTTACATCGCGGCCCGAGAGGGTTACTGTCTCGCTCAACGTTTTTTAATTAAAAAAAATAATGAAAATTTTGTAATTTTATTTTTTAGCCCCCACTCCGATTGGTTATTTTTATGTGCCCGTTTAGTTTGATTATTCGAGTTTTTAATTTAAATTGATATGTGATTTTATGTGAGAGTTTTTTATTATAATAAAAATATTAGATGTGATTGTTTCTGAGAACTTTTTACTATAGTAAAACTCGAATCAGTAAAATGAACATGTGTGTACCTCCATTTTACATCACTTACCTATTGTGATATTACTTATGAGTCTTACTATATATGTATTTAGTAGCTGTTAAACAATACTATAAAATAAATGTACACCCAACTAAAGGTGGTAGACTGGATTTGCCGCTGGGTGGTTATGGTTTTGGGTTTTCTTTTTTTGGTTTTGTTTGGTGATATCTCATTTTTCATCCTTAAGTTTTTTTTTTTTAAATTCCATTTTTTTTTTTTTAGTGTATATGATTTAATCCCATTTTCTCTTTGACTACTTTATATACTGTATCATTCCCTGCACGGAGTCTTTAATCCCACTTTCTTAAATTTATTTTTTTTAATTTGTGCGTTTGGTTTCCATTTTTAAACTTGAATTTGTCTTCTTTTTTATTCTCCTATATAGGTCATTTGAATGCCATTCTTTTCGTTGCTGATAATTTTTTTGCTATTTTATTTTAGTGATGAATGTACAAGTGCAGAAAATTTTTCTTACACGCATCATTTTATTTTATTTATTTTTCATTTTTTCTATTTATGAACTGAGTTTAGAAATGCGACTGAAAGTAGATATCAAAATGATAGTCTGCAAGACATGTCGCTCTATTGGAAAGCTACATGTTATTTACAAAATATACAACCTACATGTCATTTAGAAAATATACAACGGGCTCTTATAAGCTAAATTAAGAGTATGTTTGGTAGGATAGATGGAGGTAGGGAAAGGGGTGGAGGGAGAGGTCTAATTTCTTGTTTGGTTGGAGGGAGAGGAGAGTGTGGAGGAAAAAATGGAGAATTTACTCTTAAGAGTGCATGAGTCTGGACATTTACCCCTTACTCTTGATAAATACTCTTTTATTAGTCTAATTATTTGACTAAAAAAGTTATGAATAAAGAGAAAAAAGTAAAAATTTTGACACACTTTTTATGGGTATTTGTCAAGATTACTCGAGGTGGAGGGGTGTGCTTTCCCTCATGGCCCACCAAATTGAATCGTTACATTGATGGAAGGATCCAAATAATCCATATACTTTTAACTTTAAAAGACTATTTTACCTTCTAATTAAATTATTCAAAAAAATTTAAATGGACAATATAGTAATTTAACAAAAAATTGTCATCTATCCTTTCAACTCCCCCTTTATCTTACAAAATAACATGAATCGGAATGTACCATAACACCTTTTCTCCCATTAGATGGTTTCTTACCTTTCTTCCACCTAGACTCGTGGCACACCAGACACTCATTCAAACACGCAATCATTCAATACAACACACAATCTTTCAAACACGCATGTATCTTCTCGTATTATATCCTCATAGAGCTTAACGCCTTCTTAGCCTCGTATATAGAACCTGACACTTGATTATTATCTGGAAGTGCATCTTTTAAAAATTCTAAGAATTCTGTGAAACTTGCATTTGACCGCCCACCAGACGCCTTCAAGTTCCACAATCTAATCAATCCAGACAATTTGATATATGTCTTACACCCATTATACAATGGTGTCTCCGAATCTTCCATCATCTTCTCGAATAACTCTGGTTGGTGCACAAATTCCTCCTCCATATCCTTAATCATTTCAACCATATTACTTCTATCTTCCTCATAATCAACATCAACGTCATTCCTCTCAATTCCCCTAATCGCTAAAGATGAACTTGGAACCTCTTCACTGTGTCATATCCATGTTTGATAAGTCCAATCAATGCCATATAGGAACAAATAGAATCGAAGATCTTGCATTGATTGTTTTCTAATGCAACCATGTTGCACACACGGGCAACGAATCATATTCCCTTTCGTTGTATTCTTTACAAAGGAAATAAATTCTTCAACCCCTTCCTTATATTCATTATTCAACCTATTTGTAAACATCCATTTCTTATCCATTGTTACACAAAAAACCAAACAATAATTATCTCACTTACCCAAACACATAAATCGTACAATTACTTAAAACAACAAATTAAACCCAACATCGATATTACTCAAAACCAGAAAACATAGACTAATTTCATCATCTACCTAACAAATTCAAGACAAAAAATAAAAACGCAACGTCTATATTACTCAAAATCACAAAACATAATCTAATTTTATCATCTACCTAACAAATTCAAGACAAACCCAATATCTATATTACTCAAAATTATAAAATATAAACAAAATTCATTATCTACATAACAAATTCAAGACAAACAATAAAAACTCAACACCCATATTACTCAAAACCACAAAACCTAAACAAATTTCATCATCTACATAACAAATTCAAGACAAAAACTAAAAATGCAACACCCTTATTACTCAAAATCACAAAACCTAAACTAATTTCATCATCAACATAAACAAATTTTATCAAACAATAAACACCTAACATCTATAATACTCAAACCCATAAAATCTAAGTTATCTTCTTCATTTTTTTTATCAAGTTTATACAAAAAAATGGGAAAATTAATGAAACTTACTTGATGTTCTTTGTGGATTTATGGCTCCTCCCGGATTTGTGGAGAAAACGGCGGCGAACGGAAGGAAGAAAGGGCCTATTTGGGGTGGCGGCGTTGTCTGTGCGGAAGCATTGGAAGAATAACTCAATGGGTGGGCATTTTGATTTTTGAGTGAATTTTCACGAAATAAAGTTTTTCTGAGTTAAAAATTATATTCAACGACGGTTTTAAGAAAAACCGTCGTTAAAGATACAAGTATTAGATGATGATTTTTTAAAAAACTATCGTCTATAATCGCCACGTCAACCACCATGTTTTTTATGGCACGTTTGATGACGATTTCGTATAAAATCATCGTCTAATTAACGACGTCAAATCAATAATTTTTGTAGTGTTAAGGGAAGTATGCTTAAATAATTGATTTTTAGTTGTTGTACTTAATTATTTATATTCTAATTAAATAATTGTTTGTAAGCTAGTTTATTAAATATTTATTGTAGAAATTGGCCAGTTTATTTTGCTGATTCGAGTTTAGATGTAATTTTATATGAGAGCTTTTTACTGTAGTAAAAAAGTTAGATGTGACTGTTTCTGAGAACTTTTTACTGTAGTAAAACTCAAATTCTAAACTCGAATCGGTAAAGTGAACGGGTGAGTGGTATGATCTAGCTTTTTAGCCTCTCTGGACAAACTCTCTACCCTTGCACGTTTGGGAACGCACTATAGCCTTGCTTGAAGCCGGCTCTCCTTATATTAAACATTTTCTTGGTATGATCTAGTCTTCAAATAGTTTAATATATTCTTAATAATTAATTAAAGGACGAATTGACATGATATTTTTTAACAACATTCATGGTGTTATTTCTTTAAATTACAAATTGAGAAATACTAGCATTAATTTTTATGTCGCTCTCTTTGTTACTCTCTGCTTTTATTATTTGACGTATGGTGTCTATTATCTCATTTTCTATTTAAATAATAATATATCATGTTATTGGAGTCCACTTATCAAATAGTAAAAGCTGAGAATGAAAAAAAGAGTGATAAAAAGAGTAGTGCTAGTATTTTTTTTATAAGTTAAAAGATCGGACGCATTATCTAAATTTTATAAGGATAATCAATAATTTTCCCTTTTTAAAAATAAATTCGACCACTTCTCTTTCTCTTATCTTGAAAATGTATAGTCGTCAATTTTATATAAAGGAGAAATAAGTAAATAGCTTTTCTGAAACAGTTTTAAAGTAAAATAACATATTTACTAGTAAAAAATTATTTTCTCCTAATACGTAATTATTTATTGATAATAAATTATTTACGCCGTAAATAATGATAAATATATTACTTACTTCAATAGTTTCAAAAACACGTTTTTATTTAAAGAAGCCGTTTAAAATATATGTTTTTTACGGTAATTAATGAACTTTTTTAAAAAAAACTTTGGGTGCATTTATATTGCTCTATTTGTGAAACTCTATTTTAACCGTTTGAGTTAACTTTTTAAACAGTTTGATTTAAAATAAGAACATTCTATATTGCGCATTGTAAATATTAAATGTGGACGCATCAAATGATTTAAAATTGAGAATTTTTTTAGTAATTTCTAAAAATATAGGTTATTAATAATTTTTTATTTTTCAACCGTTAAATTTATATTAAAATCAATCTGTTCTATATATTTTTTTAATATAATATAATGTTAGTTAAATTTAACAATTAAAAATTAAAACTACTATAAAACAGATTACTGAAAAAACTCCCATTAACAATAAAGTTTTTTGAGTAGTGAATTTCCTACCGTTTTTCCTTAGAAAAAAATAGTAGTAAATTTCCTACCATACAACTTCCCAAAATCTTTTTTTCTAAAAAAATCCTTATCTTGTAATTGGTCGTTTCCAATGTCCAGTCCTTTTTTGTCTTCTTTTGTTTGGCGGCTTTTTGGCTTATGTCCATCTTTCAACTTTCAACAAGTCAACACACGCACCAACTTCTTTCTTCTCTCATCAACAAACGCACTACCCCAGCTTCTTCTCTCCCTTCCAACGATGTCAAAGTCAAACTCCGGCCAATATTCCGATCCGACCGACCCGCTCGCCAACCTCCTCGCCGTCCAAACGAGGATGGATTCTCTACACCGCTTCCTATCCGAATCGATAAGCTTCAACTCTCCGATCAGTCATCATCAGATCGAATCAGTCTCCTCCGAGATCGCCTCCGCGATCCACGAAATCGTCGCCAACGGCACGGCTCTCCTCGCCCTTTCCCTAACCAAGCAGCTGCCGGTGGCGAATCAAGTGAAGGAGGAGGAAAACGACGGCGCCACCGCCGACGGCGGAGATTTCGAGGTCGTGGAGCTCGACGCGGCGGAGCTGCTGGCGGAGCACGTCCACTTCTGCGAGATCTGCGGGAAAGGATTCCGCCGTGACGCGAACCTACGGATGCACATGAGAGCGCACGGGAACCAGTTCAAGACAGCCGAGGCGCTCGCCAAACCCGGTCCGACCGGTCCGATCGGTTCCAACCGGACCATCCGGTTCTCATGCCCGCACAGCGGATGTAACCGGAACAAGGCGCACAGGAAGTTCCGGCCGCTGAAATCGGCGATCTGCGCGAAGAATCACTTCAAGAGGAGCCACTGTCCGAAGATGTTTTCCTGCAATCGGTGCGAAAAGAAGAAGTTCTCTGTTCTGGCGGATCTGAAGAATCACCTGAGGAGCTGTGGGACCGCGAAATGGCGGTGCTCGTGCGGGACCACGTTCTCGAGGAAGGACAAGCTGTTCGGCCACGTGGCGCTCTTTGAAGGCCATATGCCCGCCGTCGACGGCGAAGACGGTGGAGATAGGAAGGGAAAGGCCGTGAGTAGGGTCGGAGAGGATGAGGATGCTGATCGGATTTTAGGAGATGGAGGGTTTGATCCGAATTGTGACGAGGATGGAATTTTCGAGGGATTGCTTGATGGATTTGGGTCCATTGATGGCTTCTCTTTGCAGGACGTTTTAGGTATTTGATCTCTGATTTCACAGTTTTCTTTTTTTCTTTTTATTTATTAACAGGTCTGTATCTGAATACAGGGTCTCTTGTTTGTAATTCTTTTTGTTGTGCATATATAGGTGTATTTCATTTTTGTGACAGAATCTTTATCTTGCTGAGAATTTTCGTATATTGTTTTGTTCTTTTTTTTTTTTTTGGCCAATTTCCTTTGTAACTCTTCAATAAAATATTTTGCAGATTTTTATTTTTTCTCTTTTTTGGTAAACTTTTGCAGTTTTGTTTTTTGTTTTTTTGCTTGAAAAGTCATTTGCAGTTTTTGGGTGATGTTTTGTTCTTTCTTTTGCAATGGTGGTTGTATTTTTTGTATGTTGTGCACGTTTGTCATTATTGCTATTTGGATGGACTACCTTAGTAGCAATAAATCTTGAACTTATTGCAACACTTGTGCAATGGAGGCTGCATAATTGGATGCATATGGCTCACAGGAATAAAAATTAGCCAACTCAAGTGCTAGTAATATATATATTTTTTTTAATTTGGGGACGGGGATGCGAACTCATGATTTTATGATAGAGTCAGTGTGGAGTTATCATCAGACTATGAGTCGACTCAGTTCATTTTACCGATTTAAATTTTTATTTTTAAATTTTTATAATTAAAAGCTCTCAATAAACGTCATATTTAACTTTTTCTGTTACAGTTAAAAGTTCTCAATAAGCGTCATATTTAATTTTTTCTGTTACAGTTAAAAATTCTAAAAAAATATCATATTTTAGCTCGAATTAAATATTTGAATCCACGGAACGAACACACCTTATACTTACAATCACTTACAATCAAAAGTGTAGTAATATTTGATTAGCGAAAAAAGTGCGAATGATGATATTTGGAATTTTTTTCTCCTTTTATGAGCCGAAAGGGCAACAAGACTTCAGCTGCCACTTTTCTCTGTATTATACAACTTAACGAAATCTTCTGCAACAAGAAATTTTAAGGAGACACAGGGTCACCCGGATACACCCCACGAGAGTACCATAAGTATAATTTATCCAAGTTACTTGGCGCCAAGTATCACAGAAGCCGAAAGCTCTGAAAACATGCTAAATTAAAGGCCAACTCATGGTCTCGAACCCTTTCCGGATTTCCTGTTTTTAGGGACATGTTTCCTCCAAATCTCTCTTTTGTACAGCGTATTAACACCTTCAGTTTCCAAAGTCATGCAATCCTGAATTTGTCTTTAAAGAATGAACCGAACTGATTCTGAGAAACAATAACTCCAAGACTGTCAACAACAATGTTGGTAATAACTTTAAAAAGAGGATTACCAAGAACAATGGGATGAAAAACAACAATAGCCAAAGCATAACACAATGACATTAAACTTAAGATTACGAGAAATATGACCTGTGATCAACGATTGCTGAACAATGGGGTTTTCGTGAGCTCCGAGTTTTCGACATCTGTAACCAGGAGAGTCACCACAGAAGTAAGGATTGCATGCGACATCTAAACCTTCCTTTTAGACATCGCTTGTTGGGTGACGTCTAAAGTCCCCTTAACAATGCGCATTTAAAAAGACTTTAGACGTTGCTTACTGAACATGCGACATCTAAGGTACTGCTCAATTTTTTATTTAAAAGTCGTCCAGCTGTAGCCTCATATGCTTTATATACTTTCAATTCTTTAATCCACTATAGAAAAGAGAAAAGAAATCTTAAATTCATGTAACATAACTTATAACTTTTACAACAAGTAATCAAAGATTAAAAATAAAACGGTTCATAAGGTTCAGTCATACTACCAACGAAATAGAACCCATAAGAACGTCAAAAACAAACGGAAAAAAAAAATCATTAAATCTCGAGGGAAAAGTCAATTATGTTGCTAATATTTCATGCAATACTGGAATTGAACCCATTACATTTTCAGTGTACATTGATCCTGTTTAGAGCTCTACTTGCACAAAAATTAAAGTTACTCTCTAGTGTCTCATTTTATTTGTAGGTCATAAACTGAAAAAAAAAATTAAAAAAAAAATAAACTGAGTAGTCACAACATGAAAAAAAATCTTAACACCAACCCTATGGATGGACAACAGGATTAAAATCAGATAACTTAGTCGTTCTAATTTAATGAGCCAATCAAGGCATTATATAGTATTTTTCTTCTTTCTTTACTTTTTCGCTTAAAAAAAACAACATACATGAGCGAAAAAGTAAAGAAAGAAGAAAATACTATACAATGCCTTCATTGGCTAATTAAATTGGAATAACTAAGGCCTGTTTGTTTCCTTTCTCGTTTTCATTTTTTACGATTTTCGAGAATGAAAAATGAAAACGAGTAAAAAAACGCGTTTGGCGTTAAAATTTTGAAAAATTAAAAACAAAAAAGTTCTTGTCATTATATGAAAATCTGAAAACGATTTATAATCGTTTTCATTCTTCCGTTTTTGTTTTCTCTCTTCAGCAACTTCACGCGACCGTGCTACTGCACGCCCTCCGCCCCCGTCTCCGACT